AATTTATCGAGAATAAATATTCAAATTGATCAGTGTTTATTGCGTTGTCGTAGATTATAGACACAAAAACTAAATTGTCGAAATTTATGGATAATAATCGAGCTTTAAAAATGCATGGGATTACAGAGATTTGTCAAGTTTATAAAACTTATCAAGTTATTGATATTTATTGAAATATCATTATTTTTCAAGTTGACAAAATTTATCGAGTTATAGCAGTGTATCGAGTTCTTTCATTTTATCGAGTTATCGATACTGTGGATTTATCGAATTAAACTTTTCAGAATTTTCAAAAAACAATATCGAGTTATCGAAATTTCACGGTTATATAAGTATGAATATCGAGAATCTAGCATTAAAAATATTAAAATTTGTTAAGTTACTAAAATTTATCAAGTTATCGATATTTATTTAATTATCACTACTTTTAGAGTTGATAAAATTTATCGATTTATCGAAATGTATCGAGTTCTTTCATTTTACTAAGTTATCGATATTTATTGATTTATCTAAAACTGACGATTTATCGTATCGAAGTTTTCGAATTTTCAACAACAATATACACTTGTCGAAATTTCAAGGTTATATAAATATGTATGTGTATCGAGTTACCACTACATATCGAACTTTATCATTTTACCGAAGTGTAACGAGTTGTCGAAATTAGTCGACAGCTTTCGAAAAATGTGAAGGTATCAACATCAACCGAGTTATCGAAATCTATAGAGGTATCCAAAGTTTATCGAGTTACCGATTTATATCAGGATATACACATTTCAGAGTTATCGAAATTTCTTGAGCCCTCAAAAAGCATAGTTATTGAAATATATGGAATTTATTCGAGTTATCGGGCTTGAACCCAGCGCTGCGGAGTGGAAGCGCGCACTGCTAACCACTACACCACAGCGACTGTGTACATATGTATATACGTATTCTCATAATCCCGAAAAAAAATATTAAAGCTCATCTTTTAAAAAACTTAAAAGCGGCAGCGCTTTAAGTTAGTTCCTTCCCTCAACCATTTTCATTTTAATCTTGCTATCTCACAAAAAATACTTCCTTTTTCTTCGCCCCAACATTGGCTTCACAAATTCTAAATGACATTTATGCATAAATTATGTTAATAATATAAATTCACTGTGGAAATCTATGAATATGAATGAATGTGCAAACAACTGAAGCCATGCACGTGAAGTGAAGCAAAAGGAATAAACGAAAGAATGAAGTGCAAGAAGCTGTTTGGCCAATATTGAAACTGACTTGCCAACGTCGAAGTCACAAGCGCCCATTGCAGTGCCCGGCAAGAAATTTCCTACGCATACACACTCGTACTACACACTTCAATGCACACACACGCGCGCATATCCACAGTAGCATCATTACCTACATTATTTTGGTTGTCATCACTGCTTATTTTCCACGCGCCATACAATTTTAATGAAAAGCCAGAGCCGTCGGCATAGCATCGCACGCGCATTATTACAAAAATAAAAAGTTGTAACTGTCGCCAGCACCCACTTTCTCTAAGCTTATGTATGTACATACTTCCGCCTCCTTCCTTCCTTCCTTCTTAAAAATGTCCTTTTTCAGTTCCATTCAAACACACAACCCCATTCATGATAAAAGTAATACTACTACATATTTGTGTACATGGAAAAAAATAATTCGAAAAAGAGAAATTTAAATCAACTACAAAAGCTAAAACAAGACCAAACTTGTTGTAAAGGAAGACCATTAAACAGGCGCTGAATGTCGGAATGAATATTTTATACTACATACACACGCATATAAATAAATATAATACATTTGGCGACATTGGAAAATTTACATAGAAAAATCGCAATAAAATATCCTGCGGGAAATTATACGCATACAATTATAATAATACTTAGCGTTTTTGGTAATTTTCATTTTTATTTCATCACCTCCATTCCTCAAATAAAATGAAATTCTATTTGAGTAAATTTAAATGATCTTTACTAACCGACTTCCAAAAAAGGAGGAGGTTATCAGTTCGTCGGATTTTTTTTTTTTTTTTGTGCATATGCTACCGCATAACTTTGGACCACATCAACCGATTTCGATAATTCTTTTTGCATCGAAATGGCAATGTCTCAGTGGTGGTCGCATCTGGTTTAGTTTGATTTTTGCTTATAAAAGTTACTTGCTATCTGAGAAGACGTCGAAGAATAATTTTCTAGAATATATCAATCCGGTAAGGACCTTCCAAATTTCCTCTTTGAGGAGTTTCTTGAAGGTCTTAAGTTTAATTTCGCTCAGATATTTACATTACCCATTTCTTCCACTTTTTCGGAACCTACTTAGGCCAGGACATTTAAACTTTAGTAGGAAATAAAATGGCAATACGAGATAAATTTTTATTGCTGCTACTTTCAGAGAATATTTTAGTATACTACTTTCAGAGAATATTTTAGTATAATCCTAGCTGATTTGAATATCCATAAAATTTTCGCACATTGCACATTAGGTCAAATGATACATTTGGCTGTGCGAAAGTCCAATTTCGTAAACGCAGTTTTACAATATTTTTTGTTGCCGTTCGATAGGCAATACTGCAAAATAATAAAAGTTTCACTTTGTTTTTGTAAAATAAAGAATACCGTTAAACGGCAATCAAACACTTTCAAAACGTTATTGAGACGTTCTTTGCGCAATAACTGTAGGTCGGTTTATTTCTTAAGATTCAAGTGTGTTTTTTTATAAAGTTCGAATAATTAAAGGAAATTCTTTTATGGAAAGCAAAAATATAAGCGACTACATATATGTATTCTATTTAAAAAAAAGTGCCTTTTTATCATTTGTTTGCAAATAAAACTGACTTATTTGCATAACCTCAAAAATTTTCGGATTTTTTCCCAATTATGATTTCATGTAAAACCTTCGGCAAAGAAAAGGGAAAAGGAAATGGATAAATTAAGATGTAGTGAGTAAATTTTATTTTACTTAAGCCGCCGTTTTCAAGAAAAACTGTTTTTTTCTAGGTTATCATGCTATTACAAATGGCGAGTTGTTTGAAGTTTGGCTGCATGGATGTTCGAAAAACGAAAAGCTTTCTTCGGTTGTCAACCATGTTGCAAAAAAGATTGGTGCTGATGATATTTGCGAAAGTTCCATGAAACTCTTAATAGAAAAAATGCGTATTTTTTGCAATTATTTATCAAATAAAAACGAAAATTATGGAAAACAATACGGAAACGATGCTAAAACATCGCGTTTCTTGCTGATGAAGTTCTTTTCGAAATCAAAAAGCCAACTGTGTCGGCCGGATTCTAAATTTCTCCAAAAATGTGCAGTTTTGTCCTCTCCTTCGCTTAAAATTGCTTAGCCTATTTTATCCGGCGGCAAGTGGCGCTATGCAACAACAGCAGATGTCAAAATTTGTCTGCATTTTAATGGTGGTCAATAATCCTTTTTAATGTTGATAAATATTGAAAATGGAAGTATGTGATAGCAAAGCAAAAAAAAAATAGCAGCCACAATTTGGATTACATTTCATCTCCTGTAGCATTAAGTATCATGACTATGTTACAAAGTCACTTGCGCCGATTCGAAAAGACAATTGATGAACAGCCTTCGCGAAAAGGCAAACCCATGAGAGAATCTACGGATTGCAATTTCAAAATTGTTTGCACAAGGTGAGTAGAGCTTTCTACATTCTTTTTTAACAAATTAGTTTCAAAAATATTCGTAACTGCCTCAGGAATCTTTCCTCAAGGTATATCTGCGAAGCATGTACATAGTAAATGATATATAAATAAAAAAACTTTTTTTTTTTTTCAGGAATTTCGATAATGCTCTAATGAACATACTTATTTTATTATGTAGCTCATTTTCAGGGAGAGGGTATGGTAAAAAAATAACTTATCTCAAAACCAAGCTAATTGGGCAATGTTTTCGAGAACTACCTAAACACTTATACTCATAATTTGAATACAAAAAGTCTCTTTTACAAAAGTCAAGTCATGTTTTCACTTTTAATTATCTGACTACACTTTTTTAACGCTTGCGATCCTTTTGCTTTAAAACAAGTAATTTTTAGCAAAAAAAAACCGACTTCAACTCTCATATAAAAAAAAAAATATATATATATATATATATATCATGATCCACTGATCGGATCTTAACCAGATTAGTATGGGACCACCTCTGAGATGCAAAAAGAGTTATCGAAATCGGTTGACGTGGTCCAAAGTTATGCGGTAACATACATAAAAAAAAAAAATATTCCGACGAACTGATAACCTCCTCCTTTTTTGGAAGTTGGCTAATAAAGCAGTATATTTTAGCTACTATTAATTTCGCACATAAAAGGTAATCATTTGACCTAATGTGCATTGTTACAAGTAGGCCAAGTCATACATTTATCAGCAGAATAAAGTTCAGTGAGAACCTGATGCTGTAGGTTAATGCAGTCACTATGTAATGTATGTAAGCGATGAGATGCTGTGACTCAGAACACTAAATCTAGATAAAACAAATAGCAGGAACACTTTTATGCTGTCAATTTAACTCACCTTGTGTACATGTACACTTAGGGCCCTATTCACACGTCAATAACAAAACTAAACCTAAGACTATTGTTTCAGCAACTAAATCTGGAACTTTGACAATATTATTTTTAAGTGCAGTAATTAAAACAATACATAGTCATTGGATTAGTTTTGCCGTTGCAGTGCGAATAGGGCCATTAGTCGGTGCGAAAGTCGTATGCTTCTCTTTTCATTTTGTCTGGTATAGAATAACTCTATCCATGACTGAATCATGAAAACTATCGATATGCATAGATATATTTTTATAAACAGTCTATCAACACTATTCAGACAGTGGAGACATTTCCATAAAACATTTCTTTTTCGTATTACCAGTCAGAGACAGTTGAAAAAAGTCAAAATTTGCTTCTTGTTTGTTTGCGTACTAATTATTCAAACAAAATAAGTATCTTTGAAAATTTTGTTTAATAAATTGTTTTAGCATTTGAAATGAATACAATCAACAAGACAACTGTGCGCATAGCTGTTGGGCTGGCGAGCACACTCTTCATCGGCTATTGCGTCTATTTCGACCGTAGGCGACGTGCTGATCCCGATTACAAGAAAAAAGTACGCGAACAGCGACGTCGCAATCGAAAAAATGCTGACCGAAATGGAATACCAAATTTGAGTGATCACGAAGCAATTGAGCGCTACTTCCTGCAGGAGATACAATGGGGTGAAACATTAATTGCGCGAGGTGAATTTGAGAATGGTGTGGGACATCTGGCCAATGCAATAATCGTATGCGGACAACCAGGGCGCCTGCTGGAAATGTTGCAGATGTCATTGCCGTCACAAGTGTTTGCCATGCTCATACTCAAGATGCAGGAATTGGGCAATCGTGCACAAGCGGAAATCAACGATGCACCCAAAATTGTTAAGGTTAAGTCCATTGAGAGTGCCGACAATTTGAATGAGATCAGTTGCGGTCAAAGTGCTTCGTAGCATGAAAGGAAATGAGTTTATATTTTGTATGCGAATGGAGTGGGGCGTGTATCTGTTTTGTATGAATTTTTAAATATTTCTAAAGCAAGTAAATTTTTAAGTGAAATCTTAAAGTAAGGAAGGAATTTTGCGGAAATTTATAAATATCCGTTTAAATGTGGAGACGCGTGTGAATTAGCTTTTTATGTTTGAATAAAATTGACAGTGATTACTTAAATGTTACAAAAATGTAATTAGTCTATACTAATATATATTTTGAAGGCCGTTTTTTTCTGTTTGCCCTTTTTTCTGTTCTGCTGTTAATTCGTTGGGAATACAGCGAGACGCAAGGGTTATTTATACATATACATATGTACATACGTGCTAATATTAACGTTAATGTTGATTCTTATGTTAAAAAAAAAAAAAAAACAAATATGTAAGTACAGTTCATGGATAAATAATGTAGGCAATTACATATGTATGTACAAGGAGCAATTAACATTGCTGTTAGCACTTACAAAAGGCGAATTCATATAAGGTGGTAGCGGTAGTACAAAAACAAAAACTACATTTGCATATTGTTTTCGCTTTCGGTACACAAATGTCAAATTTCAGATATTCTTCGCTCAAGGAGGAAGAGGGACAGAAAACTCCAACACTCTTACTTTCGCACTCACTCATAAGTAGTTTTGACATATGTTTGTATGTGTACGGAGGCGAATTAAAGCAGCTATCCTATAAAGAAACAGTGCAAATGCCATATACACTATTATTCGATAATCGTACCATTATCTACTTTAATCTATTAGAAAAATCTTTAGTTTTCATATATATCTTTTTTATTCCAGCGACGGTATGAATTCGCCTTGGCACTTACATTTCTATATGAATATTTTTGTACATTCATATGTATGTATATAATAACGCATAAAAACCCTGCTGTTATGTTTTTTGTACGAACTAAGTGAGTACAATATTAAAAGCAGCAACTCTTTCCATCTATGACATGGATTCTATGTATATCGCAAAATTCGTGAACGGCTGAACCGTTTTTTCGAGGAGGCTAACAAAAATCTCGATATACAAAAGGGGCGGGGAACCTCCCATACAAACCGAATTTTTCATACTGAGAAATGTTCATGGTAGAGTACTGGAAATGTTCATGGTAGAGTACTGGAACTTGTTATGGAGATATATGAAATCCATGGCATACTCTTGGATTAAAATTTGAGCTATTGGAAAACGGGGCGGGGCACCTTCCATACAAACCGAACCATATAAACCGAATTTTTCATAATAATAATCTTTGGAAGCGTTTATGTCGTCGTGGCACCGCCCAAACAAGTCGAATTTTTCTTATTGCATATCTCTAGAATTGTTCTTGGTAGAGTACTGGAACTTGGTGGGGAGATATATGAAATTAATCGCATAGTCACGTAGAAATTATGGATCTATTGGAAAAGGGGGCGAGCCACCTACCATACAAGCTAGATTTCATACTGCATATCTCTGGAAGTGTTCATGGTACAGTACTGGAACTTCGTATGGAGATATATGAAATCAATCCAATACTCAGAGAAAAATGGGCTCTTTGAAAAGAGGTAAAGAACGAACGGTAAGATCGGATATGACGAAAATTTTTCGCGTATTATGCATTCATATGTACATATTTACATAGATTACTAAATGATAAACAGATCCATATTAGCTGCAATCAACATATGTACGTATGTATTTATTTACATACAAACGCTGCGATTAGGTTATATATATTGCGCCATCTGTTCCCCAAAAGCAGAAGTACCTACACACACACATACTTTTTGTCTCCTTCTCTCACTTCCGGCGCATGCACGTGTTTGCAAAATGATGACAAAGTGCTTTTGTATGGAAAATCATTTATGCACATATATTTAAATAAAATAAACATGCTTAGAAGATATCTACCAAACAAAAGGAAAAAATTTGAGTTTTTGACTGAAGGCAACAAAAATAAAATCATTCGAGCGGTTGTCGAGCATTTTGGTCATGATTCAATTATTAAAGGTTTTGTAAGTAGCTTTTTTCTAAAAT